AACTCCATCCTCTTCCATGCACAGTTGGCCTGGATTGTTGTGAACTTGTCAGCGTCTGCTAGCCTGGTTAAGGTAAGGTAACCTAGTTATTGCTGTTTGAGCGTGAGTTACAGTATATTCACCTCATAAATTATGACATTCATCTTTCTTACCTGATGGAACTTTGGCTGCTTTCAACAGTAAAAGTATTTGTATCAGTATTGGTGATCCTGCTAGTACCTGGCATCAGATCAAATCCAAATTTTGTGGTATCACCCACCCCTTGTCATAGTACCGCTGTGGTTTATATAAAGGCAGCTGACCTTTGGTTGGTGCAACAAAATTCAGGAAATCTATTTTATTACATTTACTGTCAGTCAACATATGTGTTCAAAATTGTATTGATTTTTTTCTTGGAGACAGTGAAGTTTAATGGCACAGCGGTGCTTCTAACCAGATATCATTTTTTATTTATTCATTATTGGTCTTTCTTTAATAAAGTAAACCACAATGGCTGCCTACATCTCACATCTCGATGTGTCTCTTGACAAAACTGATGAACTAAAGCTCCAGTCCCGAGGTTTTGAGAAACTCGATCCTGATCTGAACAAAGGTGCAGGAGGAAACTTCATCTTTTTTTGGTACAAAAAAGATCCCAGCTCAGCACCAATCACTAGGATTCAGTTTACCTTCAACGAGGACATGGCTATTGGATTGGAGAAAGCAGGCTACACAAAGATTGACAAAGACCTCAATGCTGGAGCAAGAGGTGATTACATCTATCTGTGGTACTTCAAAGGGAACACAGAGTCTGACACTCCCATAGTGGGCATTCACGTCACCACAGATGCAGCAGATGAGCCCCAGAAGTTTAGATGTGGCTGGGAGAGGCTGGCCTGCGATCTGAATCGCAAGGCTGGAGGGAACTGGATCCACACCTGGGTGAAGAGAGCGAGCCAAACCTACATCTGTAACGTCACTGCCACCCATTCTTACGGAGCAGATGCTGACTACTTCCGGAGAGGTTACATCCGTTTGGATGAAGATACGAACAGAGGTGCAGATGGAGCCTTCGTCTTTATCTGGTACCGTCAGACCACCGACCCTCAGCGTGCTCTCACTGCCTTACACATCTCTACCGATATGGATGAATATCAAGGCCTCCAGCAGCAAAATTACCAGCAAGTGAGTGTGAATCTCAATGAGAGCACTAAAGGTAACCAGGTGTACCTATGGTACAAGAAAGAGGATGGCCAAAAGCCCATTAAAGGTATCACCCTGCTTTTCAACAAAGATGGTGTTCCGGCGTATGTGAGGGCTGGTTTCGATGTTATCAAAAGAGATCTCAACACAGGCAATAATGGTTGGACTGAGTACCTGTGTGTTTATCAATGAAAGCTTGAGGAAGCCTTCTTCACTTTGATGACCATCTTAGCCTTTTTCTTTTTCTATAAAACATGAATTTCTGTATATCACTGTGATACTACTGGTAATATCAGAGAGTGTCAGCTTGTGGGTTCTGCGATTAAACCTGCAGTAAAACCAGTGAAACTTCACACGGCTTTTTATCAACAATGATGTTAATGAATAATTGAATGTTGGTGCTCTGTGTCACGTCGCTCTGCTTTTCAATAAAGACACACTTGCATGTGAAGTGTGTTTCTTTGTTTCTTCAGACTCTGCACAACAGAAACTTTGAATGTTTCCTATGTCAGTTGGTGCTGATAC